TCTTTAAGCTACACCTGTAACAGGTGTCTTCCTTGTCAATTACAGTAACACGGTGCTTTGATTTGACAGAGAGATCATTATGTTGCAGCATGAACTTGCTTTGCAGACACTCATACTTTGTCTGATTTGTCAGGCTTTGACTTTTACGCTGAGGGTGTGTTTTGTTTGGTCGATACAAATATGGTTTGATGTCTGTGACTAGAAATGAGGAGTGGATTTGTACATAGCAACAAGCTAGCTCAGTGTGGACAATGAGAATGCTGATACAGAAATTACCTTATTAATGGCTTATTCTTCACAATCGTTTGTTAAGAAAAGAAGCTGACTTGGCATGGCCGTGTCTCTTTATTAACTCATCAAGTTATTTCAGATCAGAGAGTGAATAAACAATGGTAATTAAAGACAATGTGCAAACTGTATGAAAGAAGGCTCACGCTATGCTAAATAAACACCTCACTTTGCACTCAGTTGCATAAGGCCTAGACAGCCAACAACTGGCATAACTATAGTTCAAAGATGAAAATAAAGACTACCCTGAGTGTTGTATATACCATGTAAAAAAAATTTTTACTTTGTAGTCCAAACTGAAAGCCTTGAGCCTGACAGCCCCACCTTTCTCATTCTCTTTGGATACTAGATGGCCGGTGTAGTCAATAATTAAACGTCAACAATATGTAGTCAAGGTTCAGTCAATTAGCTGTCGTGAATGATTTTGTTGTGAGGAAAGAGCAGCAGTCCCACAGGACTGTTGTGACAAAGTGAACTTATCACTTCAGAGATTAGGAATGATCCAGTATGAGCCAATGCTCCTCAGGCACGGGTGTGTCCACTGAATATGCCTGCATGGGAAAAAAAAAGGTGTGCAAAAGCATGAAATGTCTGCATGTAGATACATGTAGCAGCACTGGGAATATCCCTGCTATTGTGCCATGTTGTATAGATGTTATTTATGCATGTCAGGCTCAACTTCTCCAGTGTAAAATTCTTGAGAAAAAAGAACTACACCCAATGGAAGACATCATCGATCTGTTGGAATAACCGAACATAAGATTATCTTTGATTGTAAGTTAGAAGAAATGCAATGATCCCTGTGAGAAATTGTTTTTAAAAGTTCGAAAAATTTGCAGCACAATGACAAACAGCACAAACAGGAATTATATATCTTGATTGACAGTGTCTCTTTGGTCCTGTCTCCCTCCCCTCACCCCCACCCGGTCACGGGAGATGGCTGCCCCTCCCTGAGCCTGTTGCTTCTGGAGATTTCTTTCTGTTAAAATGTAATTTTTCCTTCCCACTCTCACCGCATGTTTGATCATAGGTGGTCATCTGATTGTCTGTGTTTTTGTCACTATTACTGTAGTATTTTTACTTTACAATGTAAAGTTCCTTAAGGCAGCTGTTGTGATTTAACTTGACTGAACAGAACCGATTTCCAGAGAAAGGTAGGGCCTCCCATTAGTTGCATTTTGCCATTAGTCTTTGGGTGAAAGTTGTCTTTCCTCTGTCTGGAATATCTTGCGTTTGTTGGAGATGTTCTTATGCGCAGGACTGAGCCAAGTCAAGATCATGCCAAGATCAGTGACGCATTTGACACAAAAGGAACTCCTTCCTGAGAACCACCAGTGTTGTCCCAGGAGCCGCAGGTAGCTCCTAGTGCTACCTGTTTCTCATGTGGCCCCTTGTGCAATTAAGTTTCCCAGGGGGCCACATGAGAAACTTGGCCTGTTGTTAAGGGCTGCATCAATGGGCTTAACTCATTTCTACTCAATATCAATTTTAGCTCTTCATAAATTTCTTCTGGACATTACAATTTGTGAAATTTTAAACACTTTTTATATTTTATATAAAGTGACAAAGAGCATGTATTGATTTCTTTGGTCAATAATTTAAGTTCAATAATTTAATCCCAGTTGTAATAGACCGTGTACCCTCTTAGATTCACATTAAAGAGAAGATAGGATACAAACGGACATAGATACATAATTACATTTTAAGTTTATTAATGGGTCAATCTTGGCTTCTAAAGCCAAAAAACTACATTACCTTGTGGTATCATTTGAGATTCTCAGTTTCAGCACTTCAACGAGGCTGAAATATTCGTTTGTTAGTATGTATAAGAAAAAACCCCATCAATGTTCATTTGATGAGCCAGAAGTTGGAGCTCTTCTTCTTGTTTGGAATGTTATAAAATCATTATACGCAAGCTCTGTAGTGGTCTAACATATTAAAATTTTCTTTTTGATCCAGCACCCCCCGTGCTACCGAACTCTAGGGTGTGCATGCCAGATTTCATTTTTATTTCTCTGTGCTCTTGCTTTTTCACATCACTGTTTAATACTATTGTTAGTTTGAATCGTTTTTTAACAGCTTTGCGTCAAGTGCGAGAAGAGAACAGACGCAAGCTAAAGAGAATATTAGACAAGCTTTATTTTTTATTTACTTTGACTATGAATCACCATTTTCTTGTTCTCATCACCTACTGACAGGTACTTGGTCTCTTTCCCTCCCCTTTTCTGTCTGTAGCTTTTCCTGTGTAGTGATGAAAGTGCTCTGCTTCATAGACAAAGTCAGACGTTGCCACAGTGTGTGATGAATCAGCTGTGCCACCACAAGTTCTCAGAGGGAAAGTTCATCTTTGTTAAGACTGTTAAGCCTCTACTTATTAGCCTTCCGCTACCCGGCATACCAAAAGACTGTAAGCTTATGGCTCTCACAACTTGCCACCCAACAATTTCATACTGTAAAAAGAAATTATATTGATTAATTCTGCAGCTTGGTGGTTAATCTGGACATTTGCATGTATTCACAAAGAGGTAGAACAGATTTGTATGTATTACCATATTGGAATCCACATCAAAGTCTATTGTTAGTTATAATTTTTTAGAAATAAATTATTTAGCAGAAGAGCATGGGAATCTGTCCAATTAAAACAGAACTAGGGCTTGGATTACATAAATATTTTGTAGGCTCCAAACACAAGTTTTGTTGTTGTTGTTGTTTTGTTTTGTTTTTCTAACTTGATCTAGTGTCTCATTAAGCAGCCAACACCCAGCAGTGGGTCCAGAAACAAAGCATGTGGAGAGTCAACAAGATGGCTTATGCCAAGGTGACGTGTGCCTCACTGAGCCCATCTGTTTGTGTCCATGTGCCCAAATAGCATGCCTGTTTTGGGTTTTGGATATGACGCGTTCATTGGCACACTCACAATGTAAACCTGTGTATCAGTAAAGAAAAAAAAAGACTTGGCACGTCTAAAATCATGTCACGTTGCTGTGGATTAACAGTGATGTATGTTTGTCAGGCTGTACACTGAGCAGGAGGCTGAAGACTTATCTGATTCTATCTGTCTCTGCACTTTCTGCTGACATGAGTAGTATTGATGTTGCTGCATCCACAGAAGAAATCTCACTTGTTCGATCTCTCTTCTCTGTGTCAGTGCAGAAAATCAAACTGAGGAGAAAAGACAGGTTTGGAGGACTGCTGCACACAACATGTTCTGTAGTTGTGTTTGAAAAATATAAAAATAAAAGTGTCCCTGCTCGGCTCCTCCAAGATATCATGAGTATTTTCATAGCAAAAAAAGAATGAGCAAATCGCCCTTTTAGATATATGTCACTCTTTGGACCCAAATAGTGACCCTGAAATTTATAGTACTTCAAAGTGATTTAATTTTGAGCAACTAAAACAGGTAAATGTGACTTATATAGTGATGCATCAGTATTACTCATGAAGCAGTTTCATATAATTGCAGTCATTTAATTCAGTTCAGTTGTATTTATATAGTGCCAAATCACAACAACAGTTACTTGTTGTTAGGTAAATACTCTACAGAAATGTGAAAATACCCTACAAGCATTGCTGGTAACACTGTTGCACTTGACTTTTGAATACAGACTATTTTTTTTTTTACATTTTTGTCTGTTTGCATTATATTTATCTTCCCCACAGCTCTCCTTTGCTAATGACCTCCTTACCAGCTCTAACATGGCATCCCAAGTGTTCTCCAAATGAGTATCCAGGAGCAGAGTACATACCCTGAAGTTGCCACGGCAATGGCTGAAGCATCAGCTCCACCTCTTTCCCCTTCAGACTATGGATCATTGTCTCCGACTCCTGAACTGTGCGCATCATGTGGCCACAGTCATCAGTTGGAAGAGAACCATGAGTACCTTTACAAGGATGAAGTGGACGATGACCTCATCTGTCACATCTGTCTGCAGCCACTCATCAAGCCTCTGGACACGCCCTGCGGACATACTTATTGCCAAGAGTGTCTCACCAGCTTCCTGCTGGAGAGTGACTTCTGTCCTGTGTGCCGTGAACCCCTCATGCTGCAGACCTGCAGGAAGCCCAGCCTTCTGGTCCACAAGCTGCTGGAGAAGCTGTCCGTGGCTTGTCCCTTCACTGACCATTGCACTGAAACAATGCCCCGTGGTCAACTGGAAGACCACATCAAGTTCAGGTAGGCTGGTAGAAACAGTTTGCACCATTAAATTCCCTGTTTAAAAATGATATTATTAGTATTGCTATTAAAGTAAGCAAGTACTTTAGCTCCTGGTTTTTCCTTTCTTCTATTTGGTTTTGATGTGTCTACTAAACTCTACAATGACCTGAAGTAAGCACACACTCCAAGTCTCCCACCCTCCTCCTCCGCCCGTCGTCATTAGCCCACAGCTCCAGTCCCAAAGGCTAGAGTTCTTCCAACGAGACTTTCATCTAAACTAGGCCCAGATCCTCTGTTTATAAAAGAAAGCACTTCCTTTTTTCTCAGTCTGGGTCTGTTTTCATTAATGCTCATTAACACTTCCTTAGCCCAAAGGCCGCTGGGATAATTAGTGAATCTTGCCCCACACCACACATAAGCACCAGGAGTATTTCCTATTCATTAGCACTTAAAACTTAGAAAAATCAAGTTGCCTAAAACTCCTTAAACTCTAAAAATTTTGTCCCTCCCTGAATCTTATTTCCCATTTCCAAAACACTCTGATGACTCGTTTCATCTGTTTATACCTTCTTTTCTCGCTCATCTTTTCGCCTGTCATTTCTTCCCTAGTCTTTTCCTTCATGTAATGTGAATGTTATAATGAGGTGTGGCTCTCTGAGGCCAGTTCCCAGAAGGATTCAGCTGTAGAGGTGAGAGACTGCTTTCAGAAAGATGACTCTACACACTGTTTGCAGGAATGTAGAATAGTTTCAGTGAAATGCCGATTTAAACATTTCCATCAGGGTCCAGTGGGTACATGGCGTCTTTGAGTTTTTATTGAAAGATGTTGGTTAATATTCTCTATATATTGAATCTATCAAGCATATTTAAATTATAAACTATAGGAAACTAGCAGTCTTGGGTCGGGATTATACTTTTCATCTCCGTAAGTCTGTAAGGACCCAGGTGCACCACTCAAAGACAGAGATAATTAATGAGTCCTTACCAAGACACAGGGTGCATGAGACAAACAGAGTCCAAAAAAACCAAAAACCACACATAGTTCAGGAGGTCGACAATGCCTCGGGGCAAAACTCAGGGGCTTTTTCTAGCGGTGGAGACAAAGAGGATCTGGAGGTCAACCTCGATGCTGAAGACGAAGATGGAGCAGACCCTGAGACCGGGTTATCCACAGGCTCTGAACCCCTAGACATGTTATTTTCACAACTGGTGGGCACAGAATCAAAATTAACTGATTTATTACTTGCCAGCTCAGAAACAGAGGACTTTGAACAGAGAGTTCATTATTAGTCAGATCATGAGCAGCAAACTCATATTTGATAGCGACTGGCTTAGATATACACAATTCACTTGTGCAATGCAGTGGCTCAAAAACTGAAGTTAAATTATCTTTTACTTTTTCATTGGCATGCTCAGAAACTAAACAAACTGAATTAACAGTCTTTTGATTTAGCCTGTTTTGTTGCACACTGATCAGTCTTAGGTCCCGTTGTATTGCAAACAGTCTTGTTTCACTGGCTTTATTTGATCCAGACAGAGAAAGTCAGTTTCAATCGCCCTCATGTAGTAAGTACAGTAACCAAGGAATGCTGGATACCAGTCTTTGTAGCCTGTAACTAACTGCTCCCTGATATCCTTACACCTTATAAATCATGCCCTCCTTCAACTCATCTAAGGGGTTGAGAGCTGCTGGGTCCATAATGGCCGTGTCATTCTGTCACAATTCGGCCTTGTGGCAGGTTAGGCAGGTGCAGCACTTGGAAACAATGAGAATTAACTAAACTCACAAGAAGAAACTAGGTGCTAGGAACAGGAAACTAGGAAACTACTAAGGAAACATGGACCTCACAGAAAAAAAAAACCACACAGCATGAGCAGAAAACATGACAGCAAGCAAAGGGAGACTGAGGACATAAATACACAAGAGACAACGAGGGAACAGACCACAGGTAGGAACACAGCTGAAACTAATCTGACTGACGAGGCAGAACACAACACACACAGGATGAGAGACTATCAAAATAAGACAGGAAGTAACAAACACTGAGATTCATGGGCTAGACACTGGGACAGGGGAGAAACAGACATGGACATCAGAATAGGAAAGACATGAACTGACCAGAAATCAAGAATTACAAATACAAGCTCAGAGGCACTGGAAAGAGACATGTTCAGAAACTAGATAACCCAAAACTTATGATAACCTGGAAAACCCAACATCATTCCTTCAAACTTTTGAAAATAAGTCCAGAACGGAAACTCAAAACCCTGGGTCATATGACACATGTCATCTTTAGACAGTGACTGCGAGCATCTGGGCAAATGTCTATGAGCCTGCTTGTTTTTTATGAACTTGCACTTACATGTGTACAATGTCTAAAGTACACAAGCGCTCCGGGCAGCAGATTTAAAGAAGTTTAACAGAAACTATCTCCAGCTGTCTGTTTCCATGTCCGCAAGCAAGTATAATCAACGCCTTCGTGTAATTTTAACAGGACACAAGTGACACAGGAGGAAATTATATACAAATACTGTAAGTTCTTTTCACCAACTCACTCAGCGGTGAGTTGGAGAGGAGTTCCAAACAGTGAATTTCATCATTTTATCATTTCATTTGCAAAGATATATTTTCTTGCCTGTCAAGCTGTTCCTGTGCATTCCATGTGTAAGCACCTTTATTAATTTTGCTCCCACTCTTCATTTATATCCTTTTGTCCTTCAGATGGTTAAATAGCTAATGTGAGAATAGCACTTTAAAATGTGAGAGTAAATCCACGTTGTTTTGCATGGGTTAGAAACCTAAAAATGCTTTCTGCTGTAGAATCAGTGCCATGGCAGTTTGTTTTATGGCCCTCCAAGTATATAGCAATAAGACAAAACTTAACTATGCTTTAGGATTGGAACAAATTTCCTAAAATTTTATAAAAACTCAAAATGGAATTTGGGGAAATTAAGCCAGTCAAGATGTGCTTTCAGTACCCGTTTCATGTGTGTAACGCTGCTCCTCCCTCTGCCTGTATTTTAAGTTCTAATGATGGGTGGACTGTTTCTGGCTGTTGCTACCCCAAAATCTGGCAATGTGTCAGGAGTTCTAATGACTTAGACAGCCATGCCATCTGTTCAGAGCTGATTTCATACTAATCTAATCATTTGTGACCTTTATTGGCCTTTGGATAGAGAAAATGCCATCCTGGACACATCTCTGCAATCAAGAATAACATCTCAACTATGTAATCTTCTGTATCTTTTCAGTTTTCTATTACTTTTCCCTGTATGGATATATAGGATATGGCAAAAAATAGCCTCCTTATGTGATCCCCAGATATTTTCTTCTCTTTCTTTTCATTCGCTAGTTTCATGTAGCTATGTGTCTATCTATAATGCACAAAATCATTTTTTTCTGCTTTGAAGGTCTCTCATTCTCATGTTTTTCATATTAGCCAATTTACCCAGAGTTCTGTTTTGATGATATTTTGCCTTGAGCATGACAGCATTTTGTTCATCTTCTTTTTCCTTTTATGAAAACTACCTTGTTTTTCAAGTATGCCTCCAATGCCCACTGAGGAGTAGTTCAAAGCTTATGTAAATACATGTGATGCATGCAGACATTTTCTATTTTATTCTGTGCTTATTTTATTTTATTTCATTCTGTACTATTCTGTTTATGGTTCACCAGATAGACACTCATAGAGGGAGAAAAGCCACCCAGTGAGGGAAGCGGAAAAGTGTTTTACCTGTCTATGTAATTCTTATAGCAGATTTATAGTTATTTACATATACCTATTTGATATTAGAGGACATAACACACTCTGCAGAGAAGGGTGTTATAGGTAACCTTAATATCTGAGACATTTATTCTGAAATAATGTCTCTGATTCTGATTCTTTGTTTAATACATTAGTGGTTCTTATCTGGATTGATGTGTTGTTATTGGGTTTTGGTCTCTGTTTCAAAAGGGCACTAAGCCCCTAATTGCAGAGTGAATGGCTCAGTCTTTGACACCTCCATGGGACAGGTGTCTCAGTGGAGGTGCCCAAGCTGCTACCAATGGCAGACAAGAGTTTTTAATGTGTCTGGTTAAGTGGATGAATTAGAAAGCACTTTGTAAAACTGCTAAGATTAAAAAAAGAAACTGACTTATTTGGAAACCTAACTAAATAACCAAGCAACCAAAGTCTTTATTGCATAGATTTTTAATTCAATTGCTTCACCATCTGCAGAGAGTGAACCACTGAAGGAGCTAGATAAATGTACTTTTTCAGGACACGGTTTCTTGTTAGTACTACCATAGTAGCAGAGAGAAGAAATACATAAAGTGTTACTGCATAATTTATTTTTAAAAAGAGCTCTAGGAAAAGAGAGTAGGCACTTCTACTGTATTGCAAGCTCCTGCAATAGAGAATATCACGAAGCTGGGAAAAAGATGCAACACAGATAAACGCTATAACACTGTCATACCATCTCTTTGTTTCCTTTACATGTTACTTATTAGCGCTTAAACAGCCTTGGTTTGTAAGCTGACTTTAAAGCAGAATGTCAAGAATACAAAAATATTCTGTAAAAACTTTTAAAGATTATGACTTTGTGTCAGTATGATGAATTGGCTGCTGTGAGTGAGAAATGAAAAGTAATAATGTGGTTGGAGTATGTGTTTATGTGTATGTTATGATGCCTCTTTTGTGACTCCAAGTTAATGTGCAAGAGAATGAAATGAGTCCTGTGGGGCAGACTGGCTTCTGTTCACAAACTGCATCCTGTCACAATCCAATTACTTTTCCATTTCCTCCGTGCCCTGTGGTCTCGTTGCTGTGCGTACTGTTCAAATACTGCCGGACAACTTATGCCTCAGTTTGCATGCATGCATGCATTAACACACAGATGCACAAACGCATAGAGGAAAAAATTCAGCCGGTAACTATACTGCCTCCATCCATGAGAAATTCATCCAGACAGGGTATTTACACCACAATTTACAAGTGTGTTTCTTGAGTGTAGCTCAACACTATGAAAATCGGATAAGGGTGGAAAACATAAGAGCAAAATAGAAAACAGAAAGCAAAGGCAGACTTGTAATTTTGGACTACATGAATAAAATCTGGCTTGATTGCTCTACTTTGAAAAATAAATGAATTATAAACTGACGGAAATGGGACTGAGGGTGAGATTTGATAGAATGGAATAAAAATAGATCAGATGTCCTCCTGCATTTCATATTCAAAGTTGTTTAGCCAACACTTCTCCTCATTGCACTCTGTTTACTACAAATGAATGAAAAGATAGAAGAGGGTGAAAGAAGCCCCATGCATACCCCAAACACCATCAGTGCAGTTAGCAGATTAAATATATCTTACTCATATTTAAAATCAAATCACAATAGTTAATGCTGGCTGCTGTCGCCAACGCCTAATAGAGTTTGTCAGCACACAGCTCTCCTCCAGTCATGTTTCCCACAGCTTCTCCACAATCAATCTAAACTGGTGGAGATGTCTTGGTGAATGGGTTCATCCTTTGTTATTATGAATTACCTTTCCCCTTCCATTTACCAGCTCTTGTACATTGCAAAATTGAATTAATATGGAATGAATGAATGAAAATGGACAGTGTGTCAGTAAAGACTTATTCTAAATCTACTCCTTTTTCGCCCATATTTCTCATTCATGTCACTCAGGATAACAAGGCTCCACCCGTGCAGAGAATATTGATTTGCCGGTGTGTTTTGGTCATGCTCTGTCTTTTTTGTTTCCACACATGTAGGCAGATTCTTTTGAGCGATCAGACCAATCTGCTGCACTGGGATTAGTCCATCGTTAGAGAGGAGGGGCGAGGGTTTTGGAAGGCAACATACTCTCTATCCTCCCCTTCACGGGTGAATGTATGTGCAGGCAGGGGGGAGGTGAATGCAGAGATTGTACTTGTGTGTATGTATGTATGGGAGTGTACGTGAGAGTACGCATGTGAAGAGGGTAGAGCCAATCACAGCGCACCTGGTACCTCTCCCCCCCTGCTGTCTCTTTTTTGGTCTGCTCCATCCCCCCCCACCTCAGTGGTTTCTGCTGCAGTATAAGTCACAGCCTGCGCTGTTCTCTCTGACATACACACACGCGCACACATACGCACACACAGAGGGAGACTGACATGCACACACACGCATACGAGCACAAATCCTCTTACAACTCGCCAGTGCCCAGAGCAGATTAAGGGGCCGTACATCTCAAATTGTATTCCAAATGTGCCACCTTTGCAAGGGTCTTCTTCCTGTTCTTCTTGTACTTTTACATCTTCCTCTTGTGCACCAACGGGACTTCTCTGCACCTGCTTCTGCTGCTTCTTCTTCCTCCACTACGTCTTCAACCTCTGGCAACTGGCCCGTTTGCCTCTGCAGCTGAGATGACCAGGCAACCAGCCTGAGGCAGAGGAAGAAACTCACACAGACATAAGTAGAGAAGGGAAAACAAAAGGGGGAAAGAGAGGCTAGAAGGAAGGAAGTCGAGGATTAATTCAAATCTGAGAGCGCCCCTTGAGAAGAAAGACAGGCGAGGAGGGGTAGGTCAGCACGGCCAGGTTCGGAGAATTGGAGGTGGAGGGGGAGGAGGGGGAGGAGGGGGGAACAGGAGAGGAGAGAGCTATAGTTCAGAAAGGAGGAAACAGGGAAGAAAAGAGAGGAAAAGGAGCAGAGCATTGATCATGAAGGCTCTGTTGCTGCTAGTTTTGCCCTGGCTCAGTCCGGCCAACTACACAGACAATTTGGGCAACCTGCACATCCTCTATTCAGAACTGTGAGTACAACACTCAGCCTCCTCCTGCATCCTCTTCATCAACATCTACCCATCCTATCCCTCCATCAGCGCAGCTGTTATGTGTAATCGTGCATTTTGTTTACTTTTAAAACCCATTTCTTTGTGTCTGCATTCAGAGCGTTAATGCATATTACTTCCAATGTTGACATTCGGATCATCGCTTGAAGAGTCAGGGTGTTCTTCTTTGTTGTGAAAACAACCAGTCAGTTGCTTCCTGATGCTTTGGTCACTGGTTGCTGTGGCGCTAAAACGCAGCAGAGCCAGCAGGTTGTGCTTTATGCTGTCCAGGACGGTTGGGATGCTACAGAGCGCCACTGCAGCATGGCATCTCTGCCTTTATCTCGTTCTCTTTAGTAGCATGTGTGTTAGTGTGTCACTACTGTATTGACTGGAGCAATACAGTATTTGGACACACAAGCGAGTATTTTTTACACACACAAACACTGTGTGTGTACAGCCTGTATGGGCTCTCGGACGGTTGTAACTACTCTGTGTTTATTTGTGGAACAGACTTTCACCACATTAAAAATTCATATCTGGCTACTCTCAGTTTGCATCTACTGAAAATAAACTACACATTCACTTATACACACATTCATTTTGTTATACTGAACAAAATGAGAAATCTGTCTGTGTTGGAAACAGCATAACATAATAATGCACCTGTTGCTGCACATTTACTTCTAATTAATTCTGCATCAAACATTATATCAGAACTAATGCACATGGAAACATCTGTGTCAACATTTCTGTGTTCATTATAACCTGATCTGCAGAATACACTTCTAGTTAATATTAGTCATATGATGTAACGTCCTAGTAGTGCTTGTTTTGTCTGGCCAATAGTTTGATCTAAGTCATTTAGACCAGAGCAAAGTTGCAAATACTTTTAGTTTTTGCTTGCAAATTGACATTGATGGATAATCTAACATTTAATACATTTACTGTACGTCACACCGTCTTCCTTCTTGGCTCCTCGGTCTCTCTTTGTGTGGGAGTAAGCGTTGACTACATTCACTAGCTCCGTGTGAACTCAAAGCTCTGTGATCCCGGAGCTCAGCAATTGCTCTTCTCTCCAGTCTGTCGGAAATGTCCCATTATACTGCATGAACACATGGAACAATGGACCGCCTCGCAAATCCCCTCATTTCATTGTATGCGCTCTCTGCACTGAGTGGGGCTTTAGCTCCTGCAGACAGCAAGAGCCCGTGTTGGGCAGCAATAGATGCCAAAGAGGAGAGGAAAGAAGGGTGATACACTGTAAATACTGCAAATCAAGTAAAACAGATTTATTATATTAGATAGGTCAAACTGATTTAATTATACACAGAAAGAAGTGGTTGAGGATGTAAGAAGAATAGAGTGGATGAACCATGCAGTGCACAGAAAAGAGGAGAGGGGAGATGAGAGGAAACAGGAGGGTATAAGGTCACTTCCTGTGCCTGCCTTCCATCTGGCTATACATACGGCTGCCATGGTGATGGTACCCAGCAGGCACAGTATGCAGGTCCTTTCAGTGAGTGCTTGTTTGTAAATAAGATCATATGATTTCTCTCTGACACTCACTAAGTGAGAAATATTGACAGCATGTGTTGGAGCGTGTCTCTGTACCGGTGACAGTAGAGCTTTTGCTGATTATGACATGACAGAGAGAGAAACTAGAAGCAGACAATCGCGGACGTGGTGTTTTTCTGCCTGGCTAGTGAGCAGTGGCACACCATTTGTCTTTATCCATAATGTTGACAGCAGCAGCCTCCAGCTCCCGTTGTGCGACTACTGCCTCAGCCTACACCCTCTCACCACTCGTCTTTCTCAGTCTGTTCTTTCGCTTACAGATGTCATTCTGTGTGTGTGCGATTGCTTCAGTGAGTTTGTATGGTGTGAGAAAAGCGAGAATGGTTATAATCTGTCTTATTTACACATCAGTATGCTTGTACAGGCTTGTTTACACACTATACTTGCTATACACAGGGAGTAAGTGTAACCAACATTGCAAGTGGAGAGTTAATGTCTCTGTGATGAAACTCTTAATAGGTTTACTGCCATTGTATTATGTCATCAACAGCCAATACAAACACCACGCTGGTACACGCAACACAGCAACCGGGTGTGATATTTACTGCCCACATCATAACAGTGCACACATACACACACACACACCAGCCATTGGATCTTGCGTATTCCCTCCCCCAGCACACGTGGCATCCCCTGATCATCACAGTGTCGTGCTGTAGAGCATTAATGATTAATCTGTGTTCATTTCTGGGCTTGAGCTGAGATGTCTTAAACACTATGATTAGCTTAGCTTCCGTCCTTTCAGACCTCATCTCGGAGGTGTTTGATCACAACGAGCAATGCGCACTCCTATTGCTCCAGACGACTTCAGCATGAACGCATCCTAACAGGCTTAGACACCCAGCCGCCGCTCACTCGTTGGATCTGAACAATACCAGTCATTTGTTTGTACCAGGTCCACCTCGAGTCAGAGGCAGCGCGCCATGCCATTCCATGCCCCCTTTAGCCGCATGTCTGAACCTAGTGTGGGGCAGGCTTCACTAATTAGAATTTTGTTTGGATTAAATATTAATCCTTGTTCTGTAGTCATGCAGCTCCCCCTGTCTCATTGTATCTAGCAAGGCAGATACAAGTGATACAGTGAAGGCCAGTGGGAGTGAAGCCAAAAGATAAAAGTCATGCTTACCACCTCTTGAAGTACTTGCACAGCTTTCCAAAAATTAAATCAGTTTAATTATTTCTTTGCATGGGATTCTAGTTTATGAAACAAATTCAGTGAATCAACCATGCAAGCATTTATATGCAAAGGTGGGCAAAGTCTACAGAAGCAACACAATTAAACATGCAAGGAGACATGGGGCAAGGACACATGCAGAGGACACACTGAAGCAATTCAGACTAATGCATTAATCTAAAATTGCACATTACTGTTCACATAAAACAAATATGGACTAATCAACACACCAAAGACGCATTTGATGTTGTATAATTGAAGTGCACGCCATGCATGTGTAAATACACAGTCACAAAAGAACAGGTGTGTGTATTCATTTATTCATGAACAGCAGTGAGTAGCAGATCAGTGTGTTTACTTCAGCAGAGCTTTCCTCTCAGGTGTGTCTGGTACTGTCAGCATGCAGAAAGGTTTGAAGATGAGTCTTACCGTGGTGTTTCATTAGGAGAGGCTTTAAGTAAATTTAAACGTGTAATATTTTTTAATTCAGATGCCCTTCTTTCTTAGCTACATGATAGAAGTTAGGTGTATTACAAAGATTAGTATAAGTTAACCTTTGCTTATGACTGACTCAAAGTTTTGCTGCTGTTGATGGGTTTTGATGCATGACGTGTATGACATGAAATGCTTTCTGCATCGTCCTGTCTGCAGCAGCTTATCTGCAGGAGGCGTTCCATATGAGCAGACTGCAGAGCACGCATCTAGTGTAACTGACAGCAGAGAGGAGAGCAGCGTAGAGTTAATCTCTCACGTGAACGTCGCCTACTAAGTGTCAGGGCTTTTGGTTGGGCTGACCAGTGCTGGCTGTGTTTCAGGCTGTTGTACCATGGCATGTGGAGGTAGAGAAACCAGGACACTGCCAAGGGCTAGGATGGCATAGAGTGAAAAATATAGGCTAAAAGGTGCCAAAGGCAATGTGGGACAGCAGCCTGGTGGGGATTCTCTATGATTATGCAGTTCAGCGTAGCGTGGAGGGGATTACAGTTAGAGTTGTCGACACATCAACGTACACATCGTGCTTGACTGCAGCACTGGAAAACAGCCACAGTTGAGCTGGACATACATAAGGTGTATTAGTAAGCTGAGATCCAGCTCAGCCACACACAGCAGAGAATAAATCAGTTTTAGTACTACTTTAACTCTTCTTCTGTGTTGACAAAAAGAGTATGTGATTGCTCTCCTGGTTGAAACCAGACACTGACACAGTAAATGCTGCATAAATATTCTTCAAGCCTGATCATGGGGTCGTGGCTCGACTGATAATCACACATATTGATTTGGTCAAAAACCATGACTCAGAGTTCGGGCTGTTGTAACAGGCTGACTCGACTGACACTGTGCTGGCTTCTCATCTGCGCTTGTGAACGCTCAGATGCATTAAGCTTGCCAAACCTGCGGAGCCACTGCTCACTGCACAGGAGCACAATAGACAGTTCAAACAGAAAGACGGGATTTATCGGTTACTGTATGCGTTCCCTTTTGTTTTCAACACCCACTTATCTTTAAATGCGGTAAGAAGTCACGCCCAACAGAAGCTCACCTCCTACTTCAATTTAGCAGATCAGTCTTTAGAAACAAGCTTATCCCAACTGTCCTCACACAGGAGACGCGGCCCCTTCTAGGTTTGGCCTCATCCCCTCCTCATGCGGCAGATGGGATTACCCCTCACAGCAGGCGGATCCAATCAACACACCAGCACATCCTCTGATTAATACTCTTCTAGTTCATCATTAACTGGATTACTCTGTCTTTATGTCACTCTCTCTTGACTTGATCTATGCATCTATGCATCACTCTGTCCATTCCCCCGAAATCAAACTTTATGTATCTGGCATGCACACCTTATGTGTGATTGATTCACTACACTAATCAAGGAAGCAACTCTGCATCAAGGTTTTATCAACACAAATGCAATTACTGGTGGCCACTCCTACTGATACTGCGCTAGCATTTTTGTGTGTCTATGTGTGTTGTGACCACAGGTGCTTCCCCAGAGCCTTGTGTTTTTATTTCAGCTCAGACTGTTCTAAAACAAGTTATGCTTGGGACTCAGCCAAGAGCTGTTAGAGATAGACAGCTTTCACTCCCTCTATCAGCTAGATTGGATGTACACCAAGCCCAGAGTCCATGCATAATTGCTGGATTTCCATGATTGATCTTCTGATTATAATTTTGAATCCTTATTCTTTGGCACATACATACTGTTACAGTGATGAATGTTCTTACTGAA